TTTTTCTGTGCGGCCCGGTACCAAATGATTGACGGACCGGTGCCGGTCCGCGGCCCGGTGGTTGGGGACCGCTGCTCTACTGCTCTATACCATTAATACCTTGATTATAAGGTAGCTTTGGATCTTAATGGCCGGCAAAAATGATAAAATCTTAAAATCTGCTCTTTTGGGCTTTGTCATGCTTGCTCACCAGTTGTTATTTGTTTTATAAGGTGAAATGGAGTAGATTTTATATCTCCAGAAGAGGATTTTAGTCAGAATTAGATGAAATTGTCAAATTTACAGTTTAAACTTGAGTTGAATTGATGAATTATTAACAGAAAGAGAAAAAACTATATCAAGTTCCGTGGCTAGCATACAATAATATATTATGGCCATAGGTATTCTGACGTGTGTCTTTGTGCAGGTGATCTGCTTCCTGCTGATGGAGTGTTGATCCAGGGCAATGACTTGAAAATCGATGAATCATCACTGACAGGAGAGTCCGATCATGTCAAGAAGGCTGCCGACAAGGACCCCATGTTATTGTCTGGTATGTTGGTAAAAGACTCTCTAGAACTATATTATATACCATGCCAATGTGACATTTATACTTCATTTTGCTTGCTAAAGAAAACATACAATAAATAAAATGGTTTATCTAAAAGCTTTGCTAATAGATTGCAAAGTTTTTTTTTTCAGACTGTAGGATTGTGTAGATTTGCCACTCATTATGGAAGCTGTGGTTGTATAGCCTACTTAAAATAGATTAAGTTGCAACCTAATAGTCCAACCTTCTGAGGATTTTAAAAATCCTTAAATAAAAACAGAGGCACATTTTCTGCATAGTTCCTCAAATTTTTCAGATGTTAAGCAGTCAAGAAGAGTTTATTTATAGGGAATGTGGTCAGTGGTGCAATTCACGATCATGTGAAGTCAGTAACACTTATAGAAAGATCTAGAAACCTGATTCTGTCAGTGAGATTGGAACACCACAATGAATGATATAGGGTAACCTGCTGTAAAATAGTTTGTGCTAACACTTACCTTAAATGGAAATCAAATTACATTTGAATGTATTATGTTTAGACAAAAACTAAAGAAAATCATTGTAAGTGTTGTTTTGTTTCTGTTTGTAGTGAAATAATTTTTTTATGTGCACCCTACATTGAAGGGATAATTCTATAATCACCTTCAAATGGTACTCTTTCAGATTAGTTTCACTGTGGCATCGTTTCATTTATTTTCATGTCACTGAGTGAACTACTTTTACTTGTCTTCTACATCATCCGGAACCAGGTTGTTGAGACAGCAGAGTAATCCCCGTTTTACAACAGTGTGGTCTTATCTCTCTCCAGCTTCTTCACCAGAAAGAGGATGGGGAGGGGAGAGACAATGATTCGGTGGAAGAGGCCAGCAGCTCTGATCCCCAGTAGTTTGAGTCTTTGGCTCAGAGATTTTTGCTCCTTTCAAATGGGGAAATTATAGCTCTTAGTCCTAGCTCCTATCGCTTCACCTTTCACGGGGCTCACATAAGACCTCTATTTAGGGTAGGAAAGGAACTCCTGACTTTACGTTTATGGATGTCATTATGTGGCAGACATGCACATGGATGATAATAGTCAAATTTGGACGACAGCAATCTGAAAAAGAATTCTACTCATTACATTTTCACACATGTATCTGTACTTTCTGCAGTACTCGCTACTATTGGCTTCATTTTAATGGTTATAAATATTTATTTCACGTCATGTGCATCATCCAATGCAGATCATTGGCGCCATCCACATCTAGTGAAAACTGGTGTAATTGGATGAGTCATATAACGCAAACACTCATTTGTTAAGTAAAGGAAATCATCAGCAGCAAGAAGGTGTTCTTCAAACTGCAAAAGCGAATTGTCTATGCCATGCTACAACGTCGGATTCAGAAAAAGATGTCAATATGTCTGAAAGGTTGGACACAGGCAAGAGCGTATAGGGAGATGGAGACCAACAAGACCTCCCTCATCCTTGGCCCTATCTCAAAGAATTTTTCTTTTTTGTTTTTTTTAAGGTTTCTTTATACTTTTATTCTTTAAGTAGTTTTTGGAGCACATACTTTTTCACTTTTACTTGCGTAAAGAGGTCAAGTTGATAATTCAACTTTTACCAGAGTGTTTCTAAACTGCAGTATCAATACTTCTACTTAAGTAACAAATGTGTGTATTTTTGACACCACTGCCAACTAAGGTTCAAGGAGATAGAAGATGCAAAAAGATGCAGAGATACAAAAGACAACTGTCAACCAGCTCCACAGACGGCCCCGTCCAAGAAACACACAGGCAGACGTGCTCTGAGCCAGCTCCCATGTCAGAGGATGAAAGAGAGCACACACAGTTAGTCACAGTCAGAAACATAGGACTACACTGAAAAACACGCCAAGCTCCAACATCTATAAGCAAAGGTGTTTATGGCTGCAGCACAGCTGATATTTTTGTTCAGGATTGTGTCACAGCCAAACAGGAACAGACCAGGTGAAGCTGCAATGAGAAAAAGCAGAGTGAACATAATGTTAGAGATTGAACTAGCAAATACTGCAGAATGGGGGAATAGAGATAGAATGAAGCAGAATGATGCAAAGGGGTCCCTATTTCCTCCAGCAGTCTAAGCCTATAGCAGCATAACTATAGAGATAGCTCAGGATAACCTGAGCAACTCTAACCTTTATCAAAAAGGAAAGTTTTAAGCCTACCCTTAAAAGTAGATGACTGCCTGCCTCAAAGACTTAAACTAGTAGTTGGTTCCACAGGAGAGGAACCTGATAAATAAAAGATCTGCCTCCCATTCTTCTTTTAGAAATTCTAGGAACCACTAGTAAACCTGCAGATTGAGAGCAAAGTGCTCTGTTTGGGACATAAGGAACAATCATTTCCATTTAAGGCTTCATATGTGAGAAGGGGGACTTTCAATTCTATTCTGGATTTAACAGGAAGCTAATGAAGAGAAGCTAAGATAAGAGAGATATTATCTCTCTTTTTAATTTTCATCAGAACTCTGGCTGCAACATTTTTGCATCAGCTGAAGGCTTTTAACTACAGTTTGTGGCCTTCCAGAAAGTAAAGAATTACAGTAGTCCAGCCTTGAAGTACAGTAACCAATGCATGGACTATTTTCTCAGCACCACCCCTGGACAGGATATTTGAAATTTTTACAATATTGTGCAGATGAAAAAGTAAATTCTAGAAAACTCATTGATATGAGATTTTAATATAAGATTGGATATAGGTATATAATTGACCAAGTCAACTGGGTCAAGAGACAGTTTCTTAAGTACAGTAAAGGTTTAATTACAGCGACCTTAAAAGCCTGAGTTACATATCCTTGTAACAGGGATAGATTAATTACATCCAAAATGGAGGAGGAAATGAGAGGGAATGCTTTTGCAAATAACCTGGTTGGAACTGGATCTAGCATTCAAGTTGAAGGCTTAGATGAAGACAATAGTTTTGCTAACTCTGAAAGCTCTACTGGATCAAAGCAGTCTAAACCCATTTCAGATTCTATGGCTACCTTAGATGCTGCCTCACCTTCCAGAGATTAACCAATCATATTTAGAGTAGTGCTAATGATCTAATTTTAATAGAATATATCTTATTTATAATGAAGCCCATAAAATCAGTACTGCTAATAGCAGGTAGGATGGATTGTTCAACAGAGCTATGGCTCCGGGTGAGTTTGGCAACTGTATTGAAAAGATATCTAGGATTAGTCTTATTCTCCTCTATTAATGGAGATAAATATGCTGCCCTTGCTTTACGAAGGGTCCTCTTATACAGCAGTAAACAATTTTTCCAGATTAGGAAGGATTCCCGTAGGCATGTAGAGTGACATTTTCTCTCTGGTTTCCAAGGATTTGGCTTCAAATTGTGTAGCTCTGCATTAGACCAGGGAGCCAGCTTTCTGATTTTTTTTTTTTTATGTTTTTCTATTTTAAAGGGGCTACATTGTCTAAGGCAGTGGGCAGAGAAATAGCAACACCATCAACAAAATCATTAACCTGTGAAGGGAAATAAACTAAACTTCTGCCCTCGATAGCACTGATCAAGTTAAACATATTCTTTAAAATTTATAACTGCATTATCTGTGAATCTTTTGGGGGAGGGAATCTCTTTCAAAGTAATCCTAAAGGTTATTAAAAAGTGGTCAGAGAGGACAGGGTTGTGAGGGAATACTGTTAATTATTCACTTTCAATGCCATATGTCAGCACAAGGTCCAAAGTGTGAAGATGAGAATGTGTGGGACTATTTACATGTTAAACAATGCTAATAGCATCTAAGATACCATTAAAGGCTGCACTTAAGCTATAACCTTCAGAGTCAGCAGGGATGTTAAAATTCCCCACTATGATGACCCTGTGAGTATTTAACACCAAATTAGATAGGAACTCTGAAAACTCAACTATAAATTAAGAGTAAGTACCTGGTGGACGATACAAAGTTACAAAAATAAGGGTTAAATGTTTAAAAGAATTGTGATTGCCTTTGAATTAATCATAAAATAAGACTGAAAGATTTTTGCTACTACTACTGCTCCTCCTCCTCGCCCAGCATTTCTGGGGATGTGAAAATTGAAATACCTAGAAGGAGTTGCCTCATTTATGCTCACATAATCTTCTTGCTGCAGCCAAGTTTCTGTAAGGCAACACAAATCAGCTGGATAATCCCAAACCAGGTCATTATCTACTGTAACAGGCTTTTTGTTGAAAGAGATCTTATGTTCAATAAACCACATTTAATGGTTTTAACTTTTTCCCCAGATGGACTAATTTTAATTCGATTAACATGGTTTACTCCTTTAGGATTCTTTTCTAATTTATTTGATCTTGTTAATGGGTAAAACACTGTCTGGATGGAGTAATGAATGGGTAACAGTAGAGAAGCTGCAGAAAGCTGTGTTAAGATACGACCTTGCTTCCTGGTCTGCACCCCGGGTTATCAGGGTTTAGTGGATATGAATGGCTTTTTCTTTCAATGATCAATAAATTCAACAAGCTTAGTAGCCTGTAGCTACTCTTAACTTAGTTTTTTTTTCAAGCTATGTTCTTTAACTTTAGAACAGCTGATGAACAGACTATTTCTATGAGGTTATTGTGGCTTTCAATACATTTCTTGTTTGAAAGTTTTTGTCCCTAGCTCCCTATTTTTCTAAGCTCTACTTTGAAACCTTTTCAGATCCAAAACAGGAAAAATAGAAATTCTTGCATTTATTTTACATTTTGAACTATTATCCCTCAAAATGCAACCACAGATTAACTACCAAAACAGCGCAAAGAGAATGAGAATTGCTGGGCAAAAGGATTTGAATTAGTCTTGGTCTAGAGGTTACTAGTGTGTGCTTTTGGACAGAAAATCATACAGTGTTTTTGAAATGTGGGTATGTAGCTTTGGGTATGCGCAGCTCTTTTAAAATGTCTTTGTAACCCTCTCCAAACTCATACTGTAGTCCTAATTGGCTTTTTTTTCTAACTGTACCTCATTCTTTTGTTTCTTTTTTCATTAACAGCATACTTTAAGGTTTAAGCATACCATATGTTTATCCTTTTTTTGCTTGATATTTTGTTTGATGATTCGAAATAATGTTTTATGACAAAATTAACAAGAGAAGACATTTGTAAAGTAATACTTTTCATATAACTTTAATCACACTCAAAATATAGTTCTCTGTGTAGTGTTATTTATTTCGGTGCTGTGCTTCTTGCAGGAACCCATGTTATGGAGGGGTCAGGACGCATGGTAGTGACTGCCGTTGGTGTCAACTCACAGACTGGAATCATCTTTACCCTTCTTGGGGCTAGTGTTGAGGAAGAGGAAAAAAAGGAGAAGAAAGGTAAAATCATTATATCCCTAAATATGAATCTTTCTAATGTTTAAATGTTTTACCAAAATTCTTGTAAGCATTTTTTAGCAGTATTTTTTTCTTTCTTTCCATTACCTTCTGTATGAAGCGTTTGTGTAGCTCACTGTGTCATATACTGTGTTTTTAATAAGTATCTCAAACACTGAGGTGTAAACATGTGTTTGCGTGTATTTGTGTCATAAAGTGCATTACAGTCATATGAATGTGTATTCACACTATACCAGAAGAATATTTTTGGTACAATTATGAGCTGCAGTATCCAAGTTCTGTGGGTTAAGGTGCATCATTGTCCTTACTCTCTTATTGTTCCAAATGTGCCTCGAAGGAGGGGCAGTGGAAGATGGACATCAAAACACAGGTAGAGTATCACCTTTCTCTGACCCCTGGGAGCTCACCTTAGTGCTTCTGACACTTGGTTCCCTTTAAATTGGTCTGATTTTATTTTTACATCTTTCCTGTAACCAAGTGCTATACCTCCTGATTATTTCCTCATTTAAAAAGATTATTTCCTAATCACAGCAATACATCTTTTGAAGTGCTGTCAGTTAACATATCCCTTACTGCATAACCGTTTATGGCCATAACAAGCTTTGCAATCATCAAACCAAGTAGCTGGCATTCAGCTTCAGTTTTCTTTAAACATACTCTGATGCTCATTGCTTTGTTTCAAAGCAATCACATGAGTGTGACAGCCCTACAGATGCATAGCAAATGTACTAGCAGCAGAATGCAAAGTAGAAGCAGAAGCTTTGATAAACTCACATTCTAATCTGTAGCCTGCAGATTTAAACATTGTTCCCTCTATTCCTTTTTACAAGAATCATAATCGCTTGCATGAAAGCTATTTGCTATACTGCTATTACTGATTTTTCTGATAAACTACAATCAGTAAATTTGAAACCCTTTTTTCTCCTTTGTATTGAAGTTTTTCTGGCAAAATTTTTGTCAGTTCAGCAAGTCTTATAATTTGTATTCATTATTAAATGCAGTTATTAAATGCCCCCTAGTCCTTCCAACAGGAATTATACTTCCTTCTTTGTTGAAAAATAAGACATCTTCTGTTGATCGATTGGTTATGTTTATTTACCTTGTTTATTTACTTTGAAAATGATATGTTTTGCTTAAAATTTATTATTTGTTTGTTATGCAACAAATGAATTTATGCTTTTTTATGCTTACAGACATTACATGAATAACATGGTTTGATTGAATATAAATCAAGTAACCAATTAATAAAATTAATTTAACACATTCCATATGTTTTTTACTGCATCCTCCAATGTTATCTTTGTAGTATTCATTTTGTCATACTCTTTTAACTTAGATGGACATTTTTTACACATTATATTTAAATTCCAAGCTTCACATTTGTATACACTGTTACACTGTTTTATTTACCTAAAAATGTTACTTTGACTACATCATAGCAGATTAAATATTGAGAAATACATTTACATATATACGTATATATATATATTAGTATATTTTTTACGTTTAAGCCTGCATATTATGCTGAATATCTGTACTGTGCTATAACCATGTTATTTCTGTTTGCTGTCTTGTTTGTGCACATGGTTGGATGTGTTTGTGCGGGCGTGTGTGTTTATACCTGTGTTTTGGTTCATACAAATTGAATTTTCATTGTTACTGGCTAGACTGCTCCCATCCCCCTATCCACCCCATTGCAACTATAGCCACGGATGGGGCTGCAGGCATTAATGCCCCTGGCACTGCCAGCCTAATTAATGGTAGGTTAACAACATGTCTGATCTGTAACTGCTCTCTGTTGTGACTTTTGACCTGTCCTGTATCCTTTTTCATTCTCTTACTGTCTCCTATCATGGATGCCTACTTTCTACTGATTTCCGCCCTTAGTTACTCTGGACCTTTTTGTGTCCAAGCTTTCAGTGCATGCCTGATTAGGTAGTAGAAATAGTGTTGTGTTCTTGTTATTGTTCTCTTGTACCTTCTAGTTTCTATGTATGACGGTGAAAGCATATGATTTCCTCTCTTGTTAAGAATTATAAACAACATTTTCAACCTTTCAATCCTGGCCATTCATAAAAGATGGATATATAAATATATATATTTATTCGTTTAGATCTCAGCTTGTGTTTATATAAAAACAAGGCAGCACACAGTTTTAGGTTCTTCTAATATGTAACCTTAACTCAGGGTTCAAATATGCACGTCCTAAGTGTTCTGTCATCTGAACAAGAAGCAGAAACATCTGCTGTTGCTTTGATGTTTCTTTTGTATATGATGGGAGAAATCCCCAAGGATGTTAATACTAAAGATGGGAGGGGTGTCATTGCTACACTAATGGTCACCTTTTTTGGTCATGGCCTTGAAAACAAAATTTTTTTCAGAGTCAGTTTTATGTTCACTCTACTATTCTGACTTGATGTGCAAGTTAGGGTAAATTTCAGCTCACTCTGGTACTACTGGCCCTCAGTTCTACCTGAATTATCTTTTTTGAGATATTTGAGTAGAATATTACAATCAGTTAGAACTTTTCTTGTCCTTTGACAACCTCCAAATATTAAGACAAAATATTAGTTGTTGAATATTTGCTTCCGTCTTAATTAACCAGCATGTTGGTTGGTTCTTAATTTCAACGCAATTGACTTATGATCTCTTGCCTCAAATATAGGTTCTGAAATGGCCCCAGTTGTTCTTACATAAGTGCATCATGTGGGAGGCTTTTCCTTCAGGCTTTCTTTCTCTCTATTGTGTTCACATCTCCAGTTTGGCTTCCTCTTACTGTGAATTTGCATGTGTTTTCTAAACTTTCATTTGCATGCTGTCTGCTGTTTGTATATAGTGTATATGTTTTTGCTGTACATTCCCTCATTGTTTTCAGTGCAATGTTTTTTTCTACTGGCTGTTTTATAATCTACTGATATATCACTACTACTCATATGGTTTAAATCAACACCTTTTTATTAGGCAACTGTTGCAACATACATTTTTTATTAATTGTAATGCATCGCAATAAATCAGGGTATCAAAGAAAATGTAAATATCTTAATTATGTAGTTCAAAAGGAGAAACTGAAAGTTCATCATGCAGAGGGTGATATAGTTCAAAAGTGTGCTTTGGTTAATTGTCATGAATGTGCCTTAGAGCTAAAGAGTATATTAATATATATATATATATATATATATATATATATATATATATATATATATAAACCAAAAACAATTATCCAGCAGTTAATCGTCCCTTCCAGAAGTAGGGTAAACCACCGCAGGTTATTGCTGAAGAGGCTTTTTAAGGAATGCTTTATTTGAGCATATCGGTTTAAAGTTGAGCAGAAGACAAAAAATTGTTTAGGGAAAGGGTTTGCAATTAAGAATAATAGCCACAGCTTTGAGACAGTTGTTAAGCAAAAGGTAGTTTGAGCACATGTTAAAACTGTTGCATTTCTTCAGGAAAGCCACTCTTGAACAAGCCACATTGATAGAAATTCATGTGGACTGAAAAGAAAAGCAACTTAATTTTTTATCAGAAATCCAGTTAATATATTAAAAGTTTAGTTTTTATTGGAAAAATGCAAATATTCACTCTTCTAGGACATTTTGTAGCACGCGATGCCTCCCTCTATTTTCAAGCGTTATAAAGTGGTTGTTTGCTTTTTGCAGGTGAGGTTTCAGTAAAATGTGGCTTCTGGTCACGCCACTTAAAGTACCAATACCTTGTTTTCTCACCTATGTAATAACTGAGATTTATTAGCCGGCAAACTCATCTAAACTAAACCCTATAGAGAATTGATCAGTGTAATGAAACAATCTAGCTCTGAGTCACGATCATGAAAATTAACAGAAATATGTAATGCAGTGAATTCTTAATCTGTTGAAACTATGTATTGCAGTACACAGTAGAAATGGACAGGTAACTTTGGTGTTATCTTAACAAATTACATGTAGCCCAACCTTTCCAGTTTTATATCAGTTAAGAATAAAAATTATATACATTCCTATTTTGCAAAGTCTAAACAGTAGTGTTTTTCAAATTCAGAAGTTCACAAGATGACTTTCCCTTTAAAAGAATCGGCAACCCTCATATGATGTAAAGGTTGGTAAACAAGTAGTGTCCCTTTTACTGTGTTCACTTGTTTTTCTGTTACCAACAGTAGTATTTCGTGCGCACGAAATACTACTTCGTGGCCACAATAAAAAATTTTTTTTGACCATGTCATCAGAGGGGCTCCGTAGTATGTGACAAGAACAAGAAAAAAGTTTTTTTTTTTTTTTACTCACAGTATTCACCCTTTGTGAGAATCTACAGTGTAGCTTATGGCAAACTTACCAAAGAAAACATTATATGAGGAGTGTGGCCTAGGGTTAGGGTATTTTGCTTCAAATCCAGAGGTTCTGAGTTCAAGCCCCACTCCCACGGACAATGGCAGCCCTCTGCTCCCCAAGAGGATGGGTTAAATAAAGAGAGTTTATTTCATTGCTCTGTACTTGTGACAGTATAATGACAATTAAAAAAAAAGCTGAGAAAAAAAACAACAACAGCCAAATGGTGACAGAGGGGGTATCTTATAGATTTATTGTGAGGAAGAGGAGGAGAGAAACATGTTTTATATTACCTAGAAGACATATCATCTAATGTTCATATTTTTTCATGGCCTCTGCCAACAAAAGTGTTAACTATCTAAAAGTTCAGTGTGCAGATTTCTGCTTCTGAAACAAGGGACATTTCTAACCTAAAAAACAAGAGGGGAAAATAATCTCCGCCTTTTCCCTTTAACACCCTTCCAAATCCTGACTAATTATACAACTGGTATCCGACATGCTGTGGGAAAAAGTTCTGAAATGTGGGAGAACAGACTGCATGAACCCATATGACAGAGCAGAAAATCAGGGCCGCTGGAAATGGGGTTGCTGTGAATTTTTTTGTTGTTTTTTTTGGACAAAAGACCCATGAGCCTATAGGCCTACCTAAAATACAACACAATAACAAATAAGTAAGAATCTCTGTGAATACAGGCCCTGATTCTGTTTTACCATTTCTGTAAGGAGGAATTGGCCAAAATTCCAGCAATGTATTACACAAGGCCTGTGGCCCAAGCAGCATTTTCTAAAAGAAGACTGTGCAAACGAAATGTATTTAAATATGTTTGACCTTAAATAGAGTTCATAGAAAAATGTAGGTAGTAGAAAAAAACCTTAACCGACCTAAAGCTGGAAAGATTTGGCAGGTTTCCTGTCAGATGGTGAGAAAATAATGTTACACCGTATGTTTTCTTAAGTTGTGTATAAACACCTGGTTTCAACAAGACTTGAGTTTCACTTCTTTATTTAAATTACCTATTAATAGTACCATGATCCAGTGATTTCACATGTATTTTGTGTAAAAATATATTTTTTCAAATTAGGCTTATTTAATGTTATAAACTATCTTAATCTTCTTTGCAGCAGAGGAAAATTTATTCTAGCTAAAGTTTGGTTTAGTTTTACATATTTGACATATAGAACAACCTTCATTAAATAAACAACCTCCTTTTAAGTGGCTGTAGCCAACTGTTGCATAACATTACTTATATTTCAAGCTATTCTATGTGACTGTCACAAAGATGTTGTTATTAAAAGTCATTATCCTGTCTCACTGTTTGTTTCATCTATGTGGGAACGGTTATTTGACTTGTCTGCCTTGGTTATTTTTGTTGTTATTGTCGTGTATGTCTTCATCATAGGTAAAATGCAAGATGGCAATATGGAGAGCAACCAAATTAAAGGTAACTAAATCATATGTTTAAATCCCTTCTTCCTCCCTTCAACTTCTACCTTGTCACATGTCGTCCCCTTTTACGGTGGATGGTATGAACACTGGGTCAGAGCAGGTTGAAATTCCTGCGTTTAGGTTCTTAAATTTAGCCCACTTCATTCTTGGATTTAAAACTAGGCTGTTCTAATTCATTATTTATACTCAAGGCTTTGGAGTCTAACACAGGTTATACCCAGTTTTAGGCTCCGAGATGAGATCAAAAGCATTATTTGACCCAGGTTTATTACCTACAATCCATTTAGGGTAGACAATCTCCCTTTTAACTCCCCCACTGCTTGTCACTGATGTGTTGTCTGTGGTCTAATGTTCCCTTGTTCCCATTTTGTCATGAGCTCATCTTGTTCTTTTAGATGGAACAGCAGCTTTTCGCCTTGCAGTTGTGTGTCTAGCTCACTAATCAATCTCATCTTTTTTTATTGTTGATTTTTCTCTTAATATGATTTTGGAATCAATATTTTTACAGTTTTATGATTTTCCTTCTTTTTATCTGACAGTTTGGTTTGACCTCAAGGAAAATTATCCACCCTATTTGTTTTTATAAGAGATTTGATGTTTTTTATTTCATTTATAAACACACGTGTTATAATCTGTAACCAGGAGAGCAAATATAGAAGTAGTTGTCTTTTTTTTAACCTCCATGTCATAGGTTTAAAGCAAGATATTTACATAGTCAAACAGATTAAACTTTTCCTGTTTTAGATCAGTTAGGATTAAGATTTTTCTAAATGCCAGAATAAGAATGTTAGTTTCTTTCTTTACTTTTTCAAAAACACAAATTGCTGTGCCTTTTAATGAAACTGGCAAGGCCTAGATAATAAAGTACCATTGCTGTGAAGCTTCCTCTGTAGATTCACACTTATAATTTATTTTAAGTCACACATAAAACACACTGTTTCTTTGCAGAAATTCATTGATAAAAAAGAAATCAGTCAAAAATATCAGTTAGGATTTGGACTTCTCAAGGTCTGATTATCTTAATGATAATAAGAAGTTTTTTTAAAGTTTTTTTTTGTCTCCAGGAAGACGACTAGTCGTGTTTCAGAGATTTTGTTGTTTTGGTGAGAAATCTTTGTATAAACTTAAAAAAAAAAGGTGAAAAAAAAAGCTGATTTAAATTTATACATTAAGTTTAAAAGGTTATGTATAATATATGGGAATAAACAATTTATCTATACAGTTTTGTTTTTTTAAAGCTATTTGACTTAACTGTTACTAGTTGATCCAGCGTGTTCAATTCCTAAATCATTTTTTATTGTAACCTCTACTTGTAAGTTTGGACAAGCATTTTTCATGAAAATTACTTTTTGTTTTTTAAAAACATGCTCAAGTATGAAGTATATATCCATAAATGGTAAATGGTCTGTATTTGTATATGGCTTTGTCAAGTCCAAAAACCCTAAATCATTTTACACTAAATTCAGTAATTCACCCATTCATACACACACTCACACGCTGTTAGTGGCAAGCTAAATTGTAGCCACACTAATCCCGGGCCTCATTTACAGAAGCGAGGCCGCCGTATACAGACACCCCAGGACCCTTTGACCACCATCAGAAGGATTGAAGAAAATGGGAGATTTTAACATATTCAAAATTGCAATCTATATTTTATTTTTACCATTATTGTGTCTGAATTTAAGCCTATTGTGAGGCTTTGATTTCGGATTAAGCTGCCACAACGTCAAACCAGATGTTACCCTGATTGAAGTCCTTTTAACATCAGAAATCTCTCAATTTCTTGATCAAAGCTTAATAAAGATCACACCTCCGTCAAATGGGTAGAGAAATAAAATTCACAACCACACAATAAAGCGAATGTTCATTGTTAAGTAGGTGTTTTTTTAACTATCAAATGCATGTCTCATGGTGATAGGAAAATTGAGCTGTAATGATTCTTGGTAATGGGCTGCATTAACAGAGAAGAGAGAGTGTGTGTTTCACAGGGGAATAAAGACGGAGATGGAGTAAGAGAACTCCATGCTCTGTCCTACTCTCTTTTCTGATTTTATTATCTCAGCAGTATTTTATCATTTATAATTTACTTACAGAGTACCTTATATTTTATAAATCATTAAATAATTTATATAGTTTATGGTTCATAGAAAATCAGTTGCTTTTTAACTGACAAAGAAAGATTATATGTTATGCCTGTAATGTATATTTATTATTTAATTTAGAAAGTGGTGTAATGTATGATTGCCACTATGATCTAATCTTTTATGGCTAGCAGTCTTCCACCATATTTGGTGGAAAGGCTCTAAAGCCGACATAGTTCTTGTTTTCGTATTCCTTATTCTTTTTCAGATTTGTCATTTTAGTTAATCAATTTTGTTTATAATAGACAAATGCGCACTAATGTTCAATTAAGGACTCAGGTTTTTTGTGTGTCTATCACATAAACTCACATTGAAAAAGTGGTTGAAATGCAACAGTATCTTGACCAGTTTACAGTATGCATGGTTTAGCAATAAAAAAAATAATGACTTGCATAAATGTAGAAAGCAATATAAGCACATCATTGAATATAAAATTCAATGGAGCTGCAAATACTACAATATTAAATGCAAATAAACAGTGTATACAGTACTTGTGTTTTTGTTAGTTGTTGTACATTACCTCAGTTGTTTTATATTATTTTCAGTTATTTTGGAGTGTATTCATGTTAATGAGTTGGTTGTTTTTAGGTTAATGATGCTCCTTCACTATTTAAAGAACCTCAAAATACCATGGGGGTGTTTACACCTACCATTTGATAATCATTCTGTCTTGCTCTATTATATTTCTTCTTTGATGGTTTGAAATACACATTTCATGTCAGTACTGGCTGTTCCAGAGAAAGTATCATACTTAAGTGAGCCTCCCTCTAATTGTGTAATTTTGTTCATTCAGTCAACAATCTGTCTTTTTCTTTTTTTTTTCTGGTGCTTACAGTGAAGAAGCAGGATGGAGCAGCTGCCATGGAAATGCAGCCTCTGAAGAGCGCTGAAGGGGGAGAAGCTGATGAGAAGGAGCGGAAGAGAGTGTCAGCTCCAAAGAAAGAGAAGTCTGTGCTGCAGGGGAAGCTGACCAAACTAGCTGTCCAGATCGGCAAAGCAGGTACAGCAAATTGCACCCAGACATATCCATCACTCATTCAAGCAGAAAATCAGCTACAACAAGGTACTGAACCATCACCCTGTCCTTCAAGTAAACATTTTGTACAAAGAGGACATGGTTTGCTGTGGCTTGGAGGAGTAAAGCCTGTGAAGAAGAAGACAAAAGGCTGGTTCAGACAGCAAGATTTTAAAATTGTCAGGTGATTTTCAAAACACATAATGATAAAAAATCGGAGCTAGAACAGTTTTGGTCTTATAGTGTATTGTCTCCAGCCAAATGAAAAGGGAAATTCACCACACACAAGCTGATTGGGCCGTCCTTAACACGCATCTAGCAGATACAATTGAGGGAGATGCTTTACGTTATCTCCTGTGATGAGTCAGAAAAGATAGATTTAATATGTTTTTAAATTAAAAATAACACCTGAAAACATCATCGACTGTATGCAGTCAATTCTTCACTTGTTCTGAGCAGGGGACCCCCACATAAAGGTGGGAGGAAGCACTGAGAATCCCCAGTGACAGCTCCTCAAGCCAACCAGTCAGTCTGGGATTTCATGGCAGTTGGAAATAAATATAAAGAATTTTCTAGATGGTAAAAACTGCAAGTAGTAGATTTAAACATTTTATATTTTTTACTAGAAAGTTTTGACATTTTAAGTTAGTGTAGGTATTAGCAATAAAATTGTTTCACACTTAAGAAAATTTTTTAGTGGAGTGATCCGAGCACTCAAATTTTTGAAGTTGATAGCTCTGCAGAAGGAAAGATTACAGCTTGGATGCAGGGACTTTCTCCAAGTCAGCTCCTGGGTCAGCCTTTCGGATAGGTTTTGCTTTAAAAGTTCAGAGTTTGAAACTCTAGCATCTTATTTGATCATGCTTGACTAGGGGTACACCACACTCGATAGGATATTGGGATCCGATTTGCGATTGGAGCAGTCATGGCATTCTATCAAGCAGACCCGATCACACTAATCACACACCACACATGGCAGGACTATCTCCCTGATTACCAGGCTGCAGAGGAAGATCTGTACAGAACTTGGCATGATCGTTTTGCTGTGTCAATGATCTCAATTATAGAACTCTGAAAGCTTTTGCACCACTTTTTGTTTTCTGAAAGACCTGCCCTTAGGTACTTGATGATTCTCAACAGTGGTGCTTGGGGGATTTGGCATTTTCTTATTCTAATTAGTTGTTTTTAAGTGTTGTTCTAAAGCAGAAACACATTGAGGCTGATAGCAAGTAGAAATTAGTTAATGTATTTGTATTACGTCTGATTTGGTTTTGGGACATTGTTGAAGCAGCAACACAGTATGTTTACAGTTAAACATTATATTGAAAAAAGTAATGTTTTTCATTTGCTTGTATTTTTTGAGTATATGACTAATAACTTTTTGTTTGGATCCTAGAGTTTTCCTGAGTTATAGATGTGGACATAGTGATGAAAGGAAATACCTAAATAGATTAGCATAAAGTACTGCTCTTGACTCATCACATTTCTCGGACTTGAAGGCCTTATTTATGGTGATGTTTTTTTCTGTACACTTGAAGGTATATGAGTGAAAAACAAACAAACAAACAAACCAGGAAGCCAAAGCTGACTGGGCAGGAACCTTCTTCTTTTTATTGGGATTTTATCCATTTATATCAATTTATTTTTTTATTTTTTATTTTTATCTTTTATTAGCTTAGCATTTTTTATTATTTAAGGTGCATACTTTTTGTGGTATCTGTATGTACTGAGACTCCATTAAAATTTGAATCACTTATTTTATCGCTAAGTGCTACAGAAACAACAAAGTTAATTCACCAGGATCTGCAGTGATATTTACTGCATGCTTTAAAATGTACCTCATTTATGAATACAGAAATGGGCTCAGAATGATTATTGTCACTGTTTCTTAGGACTGAATAACGGATTAAAAAGAATTTATCCAATAACATGCCATTAGCCTGCCAGTTAAGAGCGTCCATTTTCCGCCTCTATGTCAACTCGCCCTTTTTTCTCCTTCTTGCTTAATGTTGATTTTGAAGATAACATAATGGATTACTTATATCTACAAGTGTGCTCACAGCAGGTTTTTCAGCTTAACTTCGATCCGTGGGGCATCTGAGCTAATACCAGAATCAACACTGGAAGCAAAGGGGTGCTGCTTTGGATTTTAGGATGTGATGTATACGAATTCTTCAAGAACGTTGTAGCACAGAATGTTTAGCATATTTGCAAAAACACAAACAAGAAAGCAAACCTTTAAAAAAAAACATATATTTTCAGCTTTTGTCCTCACATGACATAATTTTCTTTGAGCTTCAGGATTTGGGCTAAACCATAATTGGAGGAAAGTAGAATGTCCAGGCATCAGTGTGCAAAATGATCACAAGGAATAGTCTGCCTATAAATGGCAAAAAAAATAAGGTTTTTCCTTGTCAAAGTTAAATGCAAAAGATTGCAGCTACGATCTTGACTGCAATGGTTACGTAATGTAATGTAATGGTAAGTGCAAACTCCAGCCTCCGGTGCTGTGATGGGTCCAGTAAGTTTTAGAGTCTGAGTCTTCCCAGTCTGACAATGTGTTTGTTGAATGCAGCTGGCATAAGTGAGTCTGACTGACCAGGCTATTATAATGAAGCTTTGAGTTAGACCACTAATAAGTTTACGGAAATCAGAATTCTTTTTCTCATTATTTGACTGTTATTTTTACAAAAGAATAACACTTTGTATCCTGGATTATCCAGGGTTTGAAATCTTTTTGTGTTTTCTCTTAAATCATTCCTTTTCTCATTGTTTTCCTTCTTAATTTCTTTCAGGGTTGCTCATGTCAGCGATTACTGTCATCATCTTGGTCCTATACTTTGCCATCGACAATTTTGTTATGGAAAAGCGACCTTGGATGCCAGAGTGCACCCCTGTCTACATCCAATACTTTGTAAAGTTTTTCATCATTGGTGTGACTGTGTTGGTAGTGGCTGTACCAGAGGGGCTGCCACTGGCTGTGACCATCTCCCTGGCTTACTCAGTCAAGGTAAGGAGAAACAACATTGTTTAGTTAATTTGCGGTCTAACTAACTAAACAGTCTTGATTGAAAAGATGACCAATAGTTTAAACAGTTTGAAGCTTAACTTTTTAAATGACTATTTTGGATTACGTTGATTCTTAATCTATATTATTAATACATTTTAGAATGGTCTCAAACCACCAATATTCTTTTTGTGGAATTTTAATGTAGTTAATGCTATATGGACAAATGAGATTATATCAGTATACTCTTTTAACAAGTAGTTTTGTGTCTAAATATACTGTATAGATATAGACATGTAATTATTAAGGCTGTCACCAGTCAATATTAAGCTGTTCATGTGCCCAATGGGCTATTTTAAGCAACAGTTTGGTCCGTTCAACTGTTTTGAGACCTATCCATGTATCCTGCCAACAGAAAATGATGAAAGACAACAACCTTGTGCGTCACCTGGATGCTTGTGAAACAATGGGCAATGCAACTGCCATCTGCTCTGACAAGACAGGCACGCTTACTACCAACCGCATGACGGTCGTGCAGTGTTATATAGGAGATGTGCACTACAAGAAAATTCCAGATCCTGGCGTAATCCCACCCAAAACCTTGGAGTTACTAATTAATGCCATCGCTATCAACAGCGCCTATACAACAAAGATACTGGTAAGCGTCTGTAATAGTATTTTGTATTACCCATTTTTGCAATTCATAAGTATTCATAACTTTTGATGGTAATCAATTCTTATGGTTTTGTAGAAAAACTCAAAGGATTAAAATAATAGTTTAAGTGAAAAAAAAAATCTTGAAATTCTGTTGTGTTGCTGCTTAAGATGTAAACAGTAAACAAAGTCCTATATTAACTTATATTGTCTCAGCTCTGAGGCCATACAGTACATTATCCAGATCTCTTATATAAGACCAGGTCTTCAGTCTTGACGTCTTGGGATGCATCCAGTAAGTGTCTTTGGCTGCTACTTTAGATCCAGCAGGCATTCTCTCAATTTATCACATTGAGAATGTTTGTGTAATTCTGTTTTATCAGAATATAATTTAATCCAATTTACCTAAGTGCTGGAGTTGGTCTCTTGGTTACATTGAGTGGAGTAGAGAGTGCTTTTTGTCTAAGCCAACCTGACCTGCATGGGAAAATAAATAAATGTGTATAAAACATGTCTTCATCAAACTTCTAAAACAGTTGAACCACATATAGTTGAAACATATCTGTGACAAAAATTTTGCCAAAGGTTCTAAAACAAAACACTTAAATAGTAATTGGAAGGTGCAAGATTTAGGATTTGCTTTTCAAAAGTAACAATTCATCATAATTGTTCATGTTATATGACACCATGTCATAGCACAACAATAAAAATAAAGTAATAAAATAAAATTTTGATTTCTCATTTGTGCCACATTAAAATAGTCCTAACTGAATTCTGTAATTATCTGACCTTCAAGTTGTGTTTTGGTCATCCTTTTTATGCCATGGTAATCAGATCACAAAACTGTTGTGCAAGCCTTTCCCTCTAAAACCTTTGCCCAGGAGTTTCTGCTCTTGACATTGAAGATAATTTTTTGACAATAACATTTATTAGTATAAATGCAACCATTATTCTAAAGATTATTTTTGTGTTACACATACATTGTGACTTGGCAAAGCAACATAGAAATACAAAAAATAGGTTGCATTTTTATTTGCACTAGTATGCAACATTTATGTTAAACTTTGATGGATTTTCAGCCAGGCACTGACTTTTAAATAAAAAAAAATAAAATACAACTCTTTGGCTATCATCAAGTACCTTTGACATTACTTTACTTAAAGGTATAGTGGAGGATTTTCTTTTTTGGGGTGGATCATCAAAATAAGAGGTCCTCCTAATTGCCAATAATTCTGGTGATATGTTTATGTAAGGCTGTACTACGTGCTTGTCCTCATTTTCCCTTACCTGTGGTGAGTCTGATATAGTGGAAAAATTGCAAATCTTCTTTTGGAAAGTAAGCTTGCATGAACGAAGCAAACAGCAACTTTTAAACAGAGCATGCACAAGGAGAAATGGGCTTGTGCATGCTCTTGCACGCATTTTCTGTAATAGGTGTTTCCTCTCAGGAGCGGGTACAGGGTTGTACATGCGCCCTTTTTTTTTACAGTAGAGTGGGCGGTTCTTTTCAAAATTTTGCAAAAATCCTCCACTATACCTTTGAAGACATAGTGAAGCAAATGAATGAAAGGAGAAGTAAGATAGAATATGACAGAATAATTAGGGAATCCAAAAAGTGAGATGCAGAGGAGAGCCCTATGAGTAATACTCAGTTTGTTCCTCTTTCCCTCCCTCAGCCACCCCCACTCCCTCGGTGGCACTCCAGCCTTGCAGTATGCTTGCTGGTGTGTTCTTATATAAGACAGAAGTCCTGTGGGATGTAGGAATGGCTTTGGAAGTCTTTCAGGGCTACCACATAAAGGCACAAAGGCAAAGAAGCAGGCTTTGATACCATATCAATCCATCTCGTTCTCTCAAGCATCCTAATACAGCTCTTCTTATATCAGCGCTCCTTCAATCAGTGCAAGCATGCTGTAATGCCAACTGGAGATGGCCTTGGCCCCACAGAGAAAAATTACAATATTACACAAAAAATGTTTTCATGCACAATGTACATGATGAAAGTGTAAACCTACCTATTTTAATAGAATCTGAAAAAGGTGATCACACTCTAAAATCTTGTACTTTTGTCCAAAGTACTGCATAGAATCTGTTCAAGTCATACATTTTATAAAATGAACAGCTTTCAGTGAAATTAGTTCAGAGATCTAAATTTTAGGGAAAAAACCCAGCACTTCCAGTTGATACTCAAATAGTATTTTGAAAACATATATTCTAACATATACTGATTCGTCATACATCTGTCAAATTTCTGCTAGAGATACTCAGATCACAGGTGTGTCTTCTTGCAGCATAGTATGTTTAGCATGGCTGTACAAATGTCCTCAGGGCTCTGTTTAATGTAGATTTAACGAGCTGCTCAAGCAATTTATCCGGTCAAAAAAGAGAGAGCTAGATAACAGTCCCTGTTGGAATAAACAAAATATGCTGTCTTTCAAAAAGGAGTGGCTTATTATTCATAAAAATAACAAAAAACAACAACAACAACAACAAAAAAAACCATGTAGACAGAAGTATAGCCATATGCTACAAGATGTCACTTGCCTTCAAACAGATGTTTATAGTTATTGATTAAAAATGTTCTTCAGCATTGTTCTGTAAGAATTGCAGTTACATAGATCTTTTAAAAAAGCTGGTCTAAAGCCTAGATGTAGCAATAATCTTATGCTTTGATGTAAGAGAACTTAGCAGTCTCAGCCACCCTTAAATTGGGTAGCAATCCATTCAAAGGTTTGCTGCAGCCACAGCAAAAGCTTGATTACCTTTATATTTTAGCTTAGATGTTGGAGTGTAAATAATAATTAAATAAAAATAACCATAATAATAATAATAATAATAATACTACATACGATTTAGGACTCAGGGGTATGACTGATACTTTGGATTCTGCGTTCACATGTGTCTATAGTGTTTTACTATCAAACAGTCTGACAGCTCAACATACTGTATTGTACAATTTCTGCCGTACTCATCCCCACTAACACTGCACAGCCAAGAATATGCTTCTTCCCACTCACGTCTGCATTTTTGCAAGTTTTTTCTTTTGAGGAAGTACTGGAGCATCGAGAGCAGAGCGGAGTGCAGTCTGGCAACGGTGATAGCAGTACTTAGGAGGTCCTGCTTGGATCCTTACTATTTCCTGTTTAATTTTTTCTAACAGTCATTAGCATTAGTTTTTATCTATTTTTTTTTTGTATTGAATGTGCTGCCGCATCACTGCCCCACGCTGTCACAAATGTGTTTTCCACAGCATAGTCTATCTAGAGTGACATGAACAGATCACTGCTCAGCAACTGCTCATGGGAGATGTAGTCTCACATTTTCTGTTTATTAATTCAGCCATTTTTCTGCCATTTCAGAAAACTACAATTACAAAAGTGTTCTGCCACTGCCTAAATTCACCCACATTTGGCAGGTTGGCTGATGTTAAAATCAAGCCCTTTTGACAGCCATTATTGTCAGTATACATTGCAAAAAACAAAACGACAAAAAACAAACAAACAATGATAAGCCTACTAGGATTAGCTGGCCTACCAAAGTTACTCCAAGACAGTAAAGTTACTCATCCATGAGACTGAAAATGACTCACATTACAATCCGTACTTAAAGACGATGAGATATTTACCCAGAAAGAACCCAGCCAAGGACTTGGTGAATATGCAAACACCATGCACTACCCAGGAGCTACTTGCTGCAATGCACAGTGCTAAAACTAGCAGCCCTCATGAAGTTTCAATACCAATAAAATCTTAATGGAGTTTCCATTTTTTTAGTGAGGATCTACTTCATGCTGCAGCTGATCCACATTAATTGATAGCTGTAACTAGTATGATTCAATTATCATGGAGTATAACATATGTGTGTAATTTGAGATGCTGCCATATATCAGCATAGATATATTCAGATTTAACATTAATATGATGAGATGTAAAACAATAAAAGGGTAATTATGTTAAGTTGTTTCTTAATTGTTATGACAAGATTTTGTTAAAATGTAAGCTTCTGGTACTTTTGAATGTAGACAAGTTTGGTAAAAACTGGAAAGAATTGTAATTAATGGAGATGAAAAAGGCTTGAATAAGGCTCTAATGTGAAGAGCCATTGGGAAGCAAAGCTAGCATTAGATTGAGAAAAAGAGAGGGAAAGAGAAACTCCTGTCACATGACAACCATTCTTATAATTAACTGTGAGGCTGTATCTCTGCTCCCAGCACGCCCAAGGGCTTAGCCTGGTTGCATTGTCTAGCTGTTTGGAGAGCTACAATGTGTCCTGCCTGGTCCTTCATCCAATAAGAGAACCAGAGAAGAGAGAAGGCCAAGGAGAAGGAGGACCTCATAAGAGACGTCGAAATTAAACAGAAAGTCGGATAAAACATGGCAAGACATTAATGAAATGCTATGGAATAATGAAAGAGAAAAGAAATACTTAAAGGCCAAGGCTGAGCATTAAATGCCTGAGTGGTATATGAAGAAAAGGACAAGAGAGAAGGAAGGGACAGGAGGTATGGATTAAGAAGAGCCCCAGGTGGAATAGGAAGTTAAGTTGCCAGCTCTCCCTCTGGCATATGTCCTTGCCTGCAGGATCACCCAAGGACCAGGGAGAGGGCAGCTGGTGCTAAGCCACATCCAGGCCAGGACATGCCAGCAGTAACCTACTCATGCCAACCCAGAATACTCCCTGCCAACAACTGTACTTTGCTTAAAACCAGCATTAAAAAATAGATCTTAGAGAGTCAAAAAGCATCGCTTCTCTGTCCCATATTTATCAGCTGTATCTTTTTGCCTCAGGTATCAGCCAGCAATTACTATTTTAAAATGTTTAATATTTCATTCTCTATAAATAATTTTCTCTAAAGTTGTTTAGGGTTTCAACATAGAATGTGTGGTTATTTGTGGTTTAGTTTTTAACTGGACTTTTCAGCTTGGAGCCAGTTTATTGAAACACCAGCAGGCAATGCTGATGAGGCCATTTATTCCATCCTGTCATTAGCCAAAGACAGGCAGT